GTAAGAGTTAAGGACAGGATTTAGTTTTTGTCAAAAAATAAAATCAGGATTCTAGTTTCTCATGGAGTCATGAAAACCTTTAGATGTTTATCAGCCAATACTTCATTCAGTGTTACCAACTATACTATAACTGCATATTTGTAATCTCAATTATCACATTACTGTAACTACCATGGAAGCAAAGCTTTGATAGACATATATCACTTCCGTCAATCCGTTGTTACCTAAAATGTCTTCTGCTCACTTTCCAAATCCAGATTATATTAAGACTGAAAACAATTAAATGGGCACTATAGACACTTTATTTGCTTTGTCTCATTCAACTGGTTACAGTGTCTAACGTCCCCAGGTGTCATCCTTTAATTTAGCATTCATCAATTAAAAGGGACACAGCAGGCAATGTATCTGCTTCCTCTCATTGAACTGGTTAAAAAGGGAAGTGGAGGCACACCCAGAACATACATCTTACAGGACTGGTTATAAATTGATTTGGATGTCAATGAGTGAAATAAGTATTTGACCCCTTCGACTTAGTACTTGGTTGCAAAACCCTTGTTGGCAATCACAGAGGTCAGACGTTTCTTGTAGTTGGCCACCAGGTTTGCACACATCTCAGGAGGGATTTTGTACCACTCCTCTTTGCAGATCCTCTCCAAGTCATTAAGGTTTCGAGGCTGACGTTTGGCAACTCGAACCTTCAGCTCCCTCCACAGATTTTCTATGGGATTTAGGTTTTGAGACTGGCTAGGCCACTTCAGACCCTAATGTGCTTCTTCTTGAGCCACTCCTTTGTTGCGTTGGCTTTGTGTTTTAGGTCATTGTCATGCTGGAATACCCATCCACAACCCATTTTCAATGCCTTGGCTGAGGGAAGGAGGTTCTCAACCAAGATTTGACGGTACATGGCCCTGTCCATCGTCCCTCTGATGCGGTGCAGTTGTCCTGTCCCCTTAGCAGAAAAACACCCCCAAAGCATAATGTTTCCACCTCCATGTTTGACGGTGGGGATGGTGTTCTTGGGGTCATAGGCAGCATTCCTCCTCCTCCAAACATGGCGAGTTGAGTTGATGCCAAAGAGCTCGATTTTGGTCTCATCTGACCACAAAACATTCACCCAGTTCTCCTCTGAATCATTGAGATGTTCATTTACAAACTTCAGACGGGCCTGTACATGTGCTTTTTTGAGTAGGGGGACCTTGCAGGCGCTGCAGCATTTCAGTCCTTCACAGCGTAGTGTATTACCAATTGTTTTCTTGGTAACTATGGTCCCAGCTGCCTTGAGATCATTAACAAGATCCTCCTGTGTAGTTCTGGGATGATTCTTCACTGTTCTCAAGATCATTGAAACTCCACGAGGTGAGATCTTGCAAGGAGCACCAGACTGAGGGAGACTGACAGTTATTTTGTGTTTTCTTCTATTTATGAATAATCACACAACTGTTGTTACCTTCTCACCAAGTTGCTTGGCGATGGTCTTGTAGCCCATTCCAGCCTTGTGTATGTCTACAATCTTGTCCTTGACATCCTTGGACAGCTCTTGGCTATGGTGGAGAGTTTGGAATCTGATTGATTGCTTCTGTGGATAGGTTTCTTTTATACAGGTAACGAGCTGAGATTAGGAGCACTCCCTTTAAGAGAGTGCTCCTAATCTCAGCTAATTACCTGTATAAAAGGCACCTGGAAGCCAATAATCTTGCTGATTGATAGGGAATCAAATACTTATTTCACTCATAGACATGCAAATCAATGTATAACTTTTTTGACATGCTTTTTTCTGGATTTTTTTTTTTGTTATTCTGTCTCTCACTGTTAAAATACACCTACCATTAAAATGATAGACTGATCATTTCGTCACTTCGTCAGTGGACACATGTTCAAAATCAGCAGGGGATTAAATACTCCCCCCTCTCTCCCTCTCCCCCTCCTCCCCCAAAGTTTTGTAAGTTTAGTTCAGTTCCACCATATGGTTATATTGTGTTAAGTCCACCACTACTTCACAGTACCCCAGTATTGGTGGGGCCTACACTAATTCCATATGATATGAATTGTGAGTATATACATCAAAGCACTATCCCTTTAATTAAGGAAGAAGACACCTTTAATTGTTTAGTTTTGCCACTGCATTTCTTGGTATTGTGTTCTTATCACATTATTTTTGTATTATATATATATATATATATATATACACATATTAACAATGCTCTTACAACAGATTATTTAAATACACATTAGCTTATTTAGCACTAGCACTATTGGATTATCCATATGATGGAACTGGTTCCCCATATTTCTTTGCTAAAATAGGGGATTATAAGTACTCTTGTAAAATTAAAACTGTGTATTGTTTTGTCTGTGTGGGCTGTTCACAAGCCTGCCTCCAGGCACTATAACCAATTCACAGAGATGAAAGTGTTATATTTACTACAGTGTTCCCCTTAAGACTTGTTTTCAGCTGTGACTGTGGAAAGAAATTTAACTTTTTATCGATCCTTCTCTTTCGAATTCTACCTCCAATTCTACCACATATAGGGAAGTAGACAGAACAAACCAATAGTGACTGATTTAAGAGGACCAGCTAGTGTTGTCTTTTTTGCCCCCACCTGTCTTCCCTTCCTCTCCTCACTGTGCCCATAATAGTAAACCAACCACAGTCTGAATATCTAGGGTTGTTCTTCCGACCACGAGTTGTAACAGCATCGTTAAATGAGGAGATAAAGGTGAACACAACAGAACTTTTCTTTTCATTATTATTATTAGAATTGTATTTGTCTAAAAAGCAAGTGTGAAATAGAAATGAGAGCATTGATTAGTAGACCATGATCTGTGATACGTATCTTGTGTTATATAAACTATTTGCTTTTTAACAGGGGATCCTGGCGATAAAGGAACACAGGGGGAGAGAGGTGAGTTCTATGGAGACATCATCAAAGGAGTCGATTTGCTGGCTCTAATTGTAAAAGAAAGGCCAAATAAACAAACTGGAAAAAAAAACCTAACTTAAACTCCAGTGTAATGTTTCACCATAACTTTCCTTTATAACCTAAAACATAAACGCAAAAATTAAGATTAAGAAATTTCTTTTTAGTGTTGCAATCATATATTTGGTGTGTTTTTTCCCTAAATAAACTTATTTGTTTTAATTTATAACCTATAGGAGAGAAAGGAGAAAATGGCTCACTTGACACAATATATGGTGAGTTCTAGAATTTGACAATAAGTCCACATCTTGGATGTGTGCACTTGGATGGGTAAGTACTGCATACATTTAATAGAGAAATGCTCAATGTATTCCGGGTACCACAATGGTATTAGGAATCCAATTGTGACTGCACCCTATGGTAACTATATGTTGTGTTGGGTAAGAGGAAAGCCAGCAGAGGCTTTCTGATTCCTGTGAACACCAAAGCCACAGCCTCTGTGGGTGATATTTACCACAGCTACAGCCATTAAAGGGACACCTTAGTCAGCAGAACCACTACAGCTTTATGTAATTGTTCTGGTGTGTATAGTATGTCCCTGCAAGCATTTTAATGTAAACACTGCCTAGTAAGACCTCTAGTGGAGACGCTGAACGCACCTTATAGGGTACCTTATGATGGGATGCTGATTGGCGTAGCCTGACATTTTGCTGCACATGCGAAATAACATCCCGGTGTTTTCCTATGGGAAAGCACTGGACTGTCTCAGATCCTCAAATACTTTGTGTATGTTGAGACAACATGGACAATCAAGTAAAAACTCCCAATGTGATCGAATATATAATGTTTGACATAACCAAGGCAGCAGGAAAGTCAATAAGTGAATAGGCATTTCTTTAAGCTATATTCTCAGGCAGTTAAAAAAAAATCAATTTAATGTTATTCTCTCTCAGTTGCCAAGAACTGTAAGGAGCTGTTGGATCAGGGGTTCTTTCTCAGTGACTGGTACACGATCTACCCAGATGGCGAAACTCCCTTGAAAGTGCTGTGTGACATGCACACAGATGACGGAGGCTGGATAGTAAGTTATCATCAATACCTGGTCTGCAGAAATATTCTTAGTCTCCAACAATATACCTACATCGAAAGAATCACAAATACAAGCTATTGGGCATCTTCTGGTCCCCGATTAGATTGGGGTATGGATTTAGACTAATTGAGGCCAGACCACTCTAATCCATAATATTGGGACCAGGAGACTTGGCATTTCTGGTCCTACAACCATTATTTATTTATTTATTACCTTATATCACAGAGGTCAGAGACTGTGGAGGAAGGGGTAGGGGCAACAAGCCCAGAGCCAAATCACAGCATATGGCTCTCATGGATAGCGCTGTGGGACTTTTTTTAAGGATGACATCCCACAGCGCTATCCATGAGAACCATATGCTGTGATTTGGCTCTGGGCTTGTGAGTACCTGACTTCCACACCAGTTAACACCATATTTGTACTGACAATATTACGCTATATTGCTTTGTGTATTTTATAGATACATCCAGAAGTGTGATCCACCTATTGTATTGTATGTATCATATGTTTGCATTTTTTGGAGTGGTGTAAGGGGTTTTCACTCAGGTGGTCTGTGGCACTTAGTACTACCACACTTATTCCCACCTATTACTGTATATATTTTCTTATTGTTTGACACTCACGAATAGACACACACACACACACTAAGAGACACACACACACTCACTCACTAACAGACACACACACACACACACTCACTAACAGACACACACACACACTAAGAGACACACACACACACTCACTCACTAACAGACACACACACACATACTCAATCACTAACAGACACACACACACACACTCACGAACAGACACACACACACTCACTAACAGACACACACACATTAACACAATCACATTTTTTTTTAATTCAATCCCCCCAGCTTCCTTACCTTTGGGAATGCTGGGGTGGATTATCACTTTCCCTGGGGTCCAGTGGGGCTGCTGGGCTCCTGGGTGGCTGGCCGTTCACTGCTGTTGGCGAGGGAGCACTAATCCTCCTGTTCAGCTCCCTCGCGCGCAGCGTAGTGATGCCGGAGCCGGAATGACATCATATTCCAGCCCCGGCATCACTGCGGTGAGTGTGAGGGAGCTGAACAGGAGGATTAGTGCTCCCTTGCCCCCCCTTCCCCCAGAAAGTGACGCCCAAGGCAAATGCCTTGTTTGCCTCTGGGTAAATACACCCCTGATGATCCCCACTTACAGATGTTAGTAGATAGTAAACCTGTAGTGTAGCACTATGAGAAATACTTACAGAAGTTGAAACGTGTCAGTGTTATTTATTATTATACTGCTTTTATTTACCATAAGTAATAAGATAGTTTTTTTCAACTTTATCCCTGGATTTAACCTGTTCTCCTTCCTTTGAAATTAGACCATTAATCGGTGTACTGAGCAAACTGATATATTGCTCCATGACATTGAGTGCCTCTCCAACATTTATTTTCTGCTTTTAATATTTACAGTAAGCACTATATTTTTTTATATTTGGTTTTATCTTCATATATACACCACATGATTTGCTATCTACCAACAAAATCAGTAAGTGCAGATCATACCATTTAATGCTGCATTCTTGGAGCCAGTTGAAGGCTCCAAAATCTGTGAGTGTATTTCTGTTTTACCCTTATATTCTGACATACTATACCAGATAAATGTAAAAATTGATGGAAGTGCACTCAACCCTTTGCCCAGAAATCCAGGGTGCTTTCACTGGATACGTCCCAATACCAGCTTGAAAAAGACCCTGAGGGGTTGAAACGTCGCTATGTAGCTGCAGGTTCTAATAAATTGCCTATTTCTTGGAATTCATTTGGAGTGCCTGGATTCATTTTCTACATTATACTATACCAGATGTCAGGAGCCTATCCTGACAACCAAGATATTGTTTTATTTTATTGCAGCAATTCCTGTTTCTTGCCTCTAGTGGCCTCCCTAGCCACTAGTCAATCCTCAGTGGCTCTCACCTGCCTCATATGATCTTCCAAGTCTGCTATAAAAGGCCACACCCAACTCTTCTCATGGCCTTTACATTGAAGTCAGTGTTCTGCCTGAAAACATCCTGATCCTCTATGGAGACTCTGTGTGTCCCGTCACCGGAATCCTCCTGAAACTCTTATCTTCAACTTCTGCAACGCTGCAAGATCCTGTAAGCAACCTGTATTACATTATACTGGAATCTACTTACCTGTCTCAACTGCTGCAACACTGCATGATCCAGTAAGCAACCTGTATTTCATTATACTGGAATCTACTCACCTGTCTCAACTGCTGCAACTCTGCATAATCCTTTAAGCAAACTGTATTATATTATACTGAAAGTACTTACCAGCTTTAACCATTTCAACCCTGTATCATCCTGAACCTGGCTGCAGTGTGACATTCCCCAAACTATTAATCTATTTGGAAATAACTTCAAACATACTTGTATATAAAAGACTTTATTCATTTACTTTCAAAGTATCCTGTTTATGGCATATTGCCTTTATTATGTTTTACTCTCAAAGTATCCTTTTTGTGGCAAATTGCCTTAATTCTTACTTTCAAGTAAATTGTTATGTCTAAAAAAGACAAATAAAGCTTCAACCAATAACCCTGGCAATTGTCTCCTCTGTAACCTGCTCAGGAACATTATGACACCAGATTGGGATTTTTCTGTTTATTTTTAAAACCTTCTAGATCATCTGCCTATGAAAGCAAGAAATTTTTAGGCGGGGATTGTACCGTCCAGGCTAATATGGTAGAGCTGCTTTTAGCTCTATATAATGTGAGTGCATTTCTTTTATCAGTGAGCCGTTTTAACTGAAGATACTACACTATTTATGGCATTTTTTCCGATCTTTCATATATCCAACATCTGAGAATCCTGTAAGGCGCTACTCCCTCTCTTCACCACGTACACCTTTTCTAATACCTGCTCATTACATTTTCCTACTTAAATATTTTTGTAAAGTAACAGGTTATTTACTAAAGTGAGATCTAAAACTTAATTTGAAGTGAATTCCAAATGTAAGGCCTGGGAGCATTAGCTGGCTTAGAGAATTTTTCCACTTCGACTATTTTGAATTTAAATTCACTTCTTTAAATTCTAGTAAATAACTCCATTATAGTCTGAATTGTCAAGGACATGTTCATATAATGTGCATGTGTAAAAAAAAAAAAAAACAGTTCAATTAAGTATTATTCTAATCACTCCTCCGGTTAATGCAGGTTTTCCAGAGACGATGGGATGGATCAGTGGATTTTTTCCGTGACTGGAAATCCTACAAGAATGGGTTTGGAAGCCGTCTGAATGAGTTCTGGTTGGGGAACGATAATATTCACATGTTAACCTCAGCAGGTAATGAGCAGATTAGAAAATGAACATATTTCACTGCATGAGTATTGACCTTTATAGACAAACCAATAAGGCCGAATGATGTAAAAAGTAAAAGTTACACACAGATATGTTCCTAATATTCTGTGCTGCTCTTCTCTTTTCATTACTGATACATAATGGGTTTTTACCCACTAAACCAGGGATTGTAGACAATTCACAAGGGAATCACATATTTTAGGCTAAAAAACAAGCTAGATAATATCTGAATTTTATTTTCCAAACTAATTATATCACGATTAAATCCATTCGATTTTAGCGTGCATTAGAGAACCCAACTCTAGCCCAGCTGAATGCAGAAGCATTGCATTACATGAAAAATATTGAGCAATCAACTCCTTAAAAATTATAGTTTTTTTATATTTTAAAACATGAATTGTGTTTGGTTTTGAGTCGTTTTATTTTACAAATGCATTTTAAAATAATACTAATAAAAGTACATTTATAGTAACTTTTCCTTCCGTGTAAAAAAAAAATGGTGTTTTTCCTACAATTGACCAGCTCTTTAAAGCTACATGTCAGATAAAACCATTTACCAAATAAAATACATTCTAAAGTATTTAACTGAATGTTAGAAAAAAATTATTGACCTGATAAAAAAAAGTCTTTCTTTTTCCATAAGGCAAATGGGAGCTGCGTGTTGATATGCAAGATTTTGAAAACACAAAGCACTTTGCTAAATATGATTCCTTTCAAGTTTTGGGAGAATCTGAGAAGTACAAGTTGTTACTTGGTGCATTCAAAGAGGGTAATGCAGGTAAGACATTGCATGGTCCATGTTATTATATATTTATTTATAGCCATTTTTTTCACAGTGACAAACAGGAGTGCAGTTAACAGATTACCCCCAAATACCATGACCACTTCAGGGATTTCAAGTGGCCATGATGCTTGGAGTTTGTATGCACAGTGTTCAATATAAAATATGCAGAGATCTAGTCTTGCTGCTCGAGATGTAACACTATCTCAGGCAGTGCCATTAGTGCATCATTAGTCCATAACTAATTAGGATCATGTCAATTCTGTGCATATTGGATGTGTGTCGTCAGAACACAGCATGCTGGTGACAGGAACATAGAAACATGGAAACATAGAATGTGACAGCAGATAAGAACCATTCGGCCCATCTAGTCTGCCCAATTTTCTAAATATAATTAGGTCCCTGGCCTTATCTTATCGCTAGGATAGCCTTATGCCTATCCCACAAATGCTTAAACTCCTTCAGGTATTAACAACTTTAGCTGGAAGGCTATTCCATGCATCCACTACCCTCTCAGTAAAGTAATACTTCCTGATATTATTTTTAAACCTTTGCCCTTCTAATTTAAGACTATGTCATCATCTTGTAGTACTTTTTCTTCTTTTAACTATAGTCGCCTCCTTTACTGTGTTGATTCCCTTTATGTATTTAAATGTTTCTATCATATCCCCCCTGTCTCGTGTTTCCTCCAAGCTATTCATGTTAAGATTTTTTTACCTTTACTTGTAAGTTTTATACATGAACCAGTCTAGTAGCCCTTCTCTGAACTCTCTCTAAAGTATCAATATCCTTCTGAAGATATGGTCTTCAGTACTGTGTACAATACTCCAAGTGAGGTCTCACTAGTGTTCTGTACAATGGCATGAACACTTCCCCCTTTCTACTGCCAATACCTTTCTCTTTACAACTAAGCATTCTGCTGATAACCAATGGCAGCATGCCCTCTTTCCATGTCACCCAAATCCTCCATTCAGCCTGTTCACCATGGAGTCTCGCCTCCTCCAGCGAGGGGAAGTGGTACCACTGAAGGAGGATCTGGCTGCCAAGAGAACTTGGTCTTGCACTGAAACAGATGATCTGTCACTGGTTGAGCAGAATTTGTATTCAAAAGTACTTCTAATAAGAAGCTTGCCTTGAGAAAAGATGTGGTGTGGCAAAGAAGGTATGGTTACTCTGCAGAAAGCTGCAACCTTTTTTTCTTTTCTTCCTAAGCTTAACTAAAAGAAATTTGAATGCAGAGAAAAACATCCAACATTATGGACTTAAGGTCAACATCCAGGTACTTTCTTACGCTGATCTGGTGATGGTCCAGGAGGAGGTAGTGGCTGTTACTGACCGAGTTAAGGCAACAGAGTAGTACACCTCCTCCCTGTCGGAATGCCAAATTGGTGCCATGGCACAGATTCAACATCTGCACACTTTGTATACGGCCATGAAGAAACAGCTTGACATCCTGCACGCTGCACGGTGGCGAAATAATCTTAACGTCAGAGGCATCACAGAATCTGTCACTGATGACGAACTGACACATTTCTTCAGACGCCTCTTCTCAGCTCTTTTGCCCCTCCTTCCGCCCCCCCGTCAAACATACCTTAACTGACTGACCTCACTGACTGCCCAAGTCCAATAGGGCACCTGAGGCACCTACCCTCAACATCCTGCTCCACTTCCTGTCACTCAGAGATAAGGTGGTAATCCCGGATGTGCTCAGATTGAAAGTCCCATCATGTTTGAAGTATTTATTCTTGTCCTACGTATGCATATAGAGTATTGAAAGACAGCCATTTCTCTCCTTTAAAAAAACAATATATAATATGTATGGGACACCATCAAATTATGGTGGATCAACCACATAGTGCACTTTCTAGGTTTTGTTTTGGATCAGAAGTTAAAGAATTGCCTTCATCCTTAAGGGACTAAAATCCAATAATCCTTTTTAATCTTTATGTTTCTGATTGAACCAAAACATACCACCAA